GCACCCCTACCCCTCCCTCCGGGGCTCCACGGTGCCCTCGCCAGCCGGGGGCATCCCCCAGTGGACGGCAAGCCCCGCCCCAGGCTGGGCTCCCTTCCCGCAGGGCCCTGCGGAGGCCACTGCCTGTGCCAGCAGGTGGCTGCCCCAACCAGGGCCATGTGCCGCGACCATTCTGCAGGCTTTGGACACCCCGGTTTTTCGGGACCCCCGTCTGCCCGCGGGCGGCACCAGTCTCCCTGCAGCCAGAGAAAAGGCAGGGAGGCCCGGGCCACCCCAGGGCCCTGCAGCAGGCAGCGGCAGCCGGTCCAGTGGGGGACAGTCCGCCGGGGGCCAGGAGGCCGGAGGGGCGCCCCACTCCCCGAGGAAGGGCTCTGTCTCCACCAACCCACTTCACACCTAGACTGGGGCTCCACGAAGCCAGGAACACCCGCGGGAAGGCTTCAGGGAAGACGGCTGCGGGCCGGGTCTGGGGTCCAGCAGGAATGCACCAGGCAGGAAAGGCAGGGCGCGTGCCACAGCTGGGCAGCAGGAGCATCCCAAGAGAAGCTGGGTTCCGCGAGGGAGAAGGCCGCCCTTGGGCTCCAGGGCCAACCAGACACTGCCCGGGCACTGCCCAGGGCACAGCACACTGCCTGGGCCCCCAGAACCCCTCTGGCAGCCACCCTCGGCCCACGGGACCCTCAGGTCCATCAGGACCCAACCCAGGCCAAGAGCTCCTGCACAGACCCCATAGCCTAATGACGCAGAGGAGGCCCAGAGACCTGAGCACCACCCAGGCTCCAGGCTGAAGGCAGCCCACGCCGATCCGCCCCAAGGAACTGCAGCAGCCTCTCCAGGAAGGAGGCCAGGCCAGTGACTTCAGAACTCCAATGGGCCACTTAGAGCTGACACCAACGACTCAGCTCATTTCTTTTTTTTTCGATTGGGCGGAAGAAGAAAGAGAGAAAGAGAGAGAGAGAGAGAAAGAGACTGGACTCCAGTCTAGTGCAGAAGCCCAACTCAGCTCATTTCAAAGACACCACTCTAGCTGGGCTCGGTGGCTCAGCCTGTAATCCCGTGCCTTTGGGAGGCTGAGGTGAGTGAATTGCCTGAGCCCGCGGGTTCGAGACCCACCTGGGCAAGCGAGACCTCATCTCTACAATAAATCAAAAAATTAGCCGGGCGTGGTAGTGCATACCTGTAGTTCCAGCTACTTAGAAAGCTGAGGCGGAAGGATCACCGGAGCCCAGCAGGTCAAGGCTGCGATGGCCAGGAGCGGCCACTGCACTCCAGTCTGGGCCACAGAGTGAGACTCCAACTCAAAAAAAAAAAAGACACCACTCTACTCCAGTTTCCTTGCTTCGCTCCAGAAAACGGGACGAGAAGCGCCAAATGTAACTGGCAAATAGGGTGCCCTGGGTAGGCTGGTTCCAGAACAGGAAACGAGGGGAATATCAACAATTATTGAGTACCTGTGGGGTACCTGGCTCTGCACAAGGTGTGTCTAAGGCATTTTTCCCACGTGATCACATGACACAGGTATAATTCTGCCCTTCCACGGGTGAGACTGCAGACTCCCAGGGGGACAGCGGAGGTCGGCGACCAACAACCCTGTGGCAAAGCTGGACTTGAAGCCAAGTCCCTCAAAGTCCCTTTTGATCTGCTAGCATTTATTTGGCACCTACTACTTATCAGGCGCTTTGCTAGACGCCAAGAAGAGAGGAGGAGGGACACAGGGCACAGCCTAGAGAGGCTGGAGATAGGTTCCAGGAGGGCACAACACACCCCATCACACTGGCCACCTGCATAGGGTTGGGACTGTGTTACCATTACTGCAGCAGTTTGTGAGATAAACCAACAGAACACTGAGAAGATTCCCTGTTTGAAACCAGGAGGCCAAGCAGGGCATGGGCAGCCCTCCCTGCCCCCTCTTGGGTCCCTTGCCCTCATGCTCAGAGCCAGCTCAGGCCCCGTGCTGGAGCCAAGGTGCCCATGGGGCTCCCACAGCTGAGGATGCCCTTCCACCCTGCACCAAGAGAACCTCCCCCCTCAGGAGGCCCTCGACAACTGGGCTGGTGGCCTCCCACCAGGATGCAGACTGCACTGGCATGTCCCGCTGGGGGTCCCATCCTCACAGCCAGAGTTGCAGCTGTCCACTTGCTATGGCTCCTACCACGCTGCGCAAGCCCTGGCGCCAGGGGCTAGCTCCATTCACCCCACGCTCCGCACCAGCACAGCACAGAGCTGGCACTGCCCCTCTGGGTCACAGAGGATGTCCTCAGTCCCCAGGGCTTGGTCCTGGGCCTGCTTTTCTCCTCCCACCTCATCCCCGAAGGCCCCTGACAGAGATAGGGACCAGTGTCCTCTGGAGACCAGCATCAGGGAAGGGATGGAGCAGAAGGGACCCATGACCCAAGGCTGACCACAGACAACTCTCTCTCAAGTGCGACAAAGAGAATCCCAGAAATTTACAAAAAGAAACATTCAGGCCAGGCGTGGTGGCTCACACCTATAATCCCAGCACTTTGGGAGGCTGAGATGAGAGGATTGCCTGAGCCTGGGGGTTCAAGACCAGCTTGGACAACTTGGTGAGACCTTGTCTCTACAATAAATCAAGAAATTAACTAGGCATAGTAGCACGTGCCTGTAGTTTCAGCTACTTGGAGGCTGAGGAGGAAGGATCACCTGAGCCCAGGAGGTCGAGGCTTCTGTGGGCCGTGACCATGCCATTGCACTCCAGCCTAGGTGACATAGCTAGACTCCAACTCAAAAAAACAAAAACAAAAAAAATTCACACTGTAACCACCCTCCTCTTCTCGCTGCTTGTACTAACACACTCCAGCAGTTGATTCCCAAAAGCCTCTGACAACAGAAATTCCCACTTAAGCCTACCTTGAAGGTTTTATCCATTGACGTGGAGAGAAGCATGTGGCTTGCAGCGAGGACTGGGCACCACTGGATGCTGTTGACAGGGCCCCTGTGGCCTCTCAGGTGGAAAAGCATCTTCCTGGGCACCGTGGTTTCTTTATACGCACTGTTCAGATATGGCTGGATAAACTCCGACACCCCGGGGTCCACGCAGAGGGGAGCTGGGGCACGTCCTGCCGGGGGGCCCTTAGGTTCCCCACCAGCACTCTTGCCTGCCTGGGAGCCCGGCGCCCGCAGGTGCCTGAGTCTTTTGGGGACGTAGGGCACAACACCGTCCTCACGCCTCTTCCTCTGGAAAGGGCCGCCGCGACGTGCTGTGGCTTCAGACGCGTTTTGAGCACGGGAAGGCAACTTCGGCAAGTCCCGCGAGAGCTTCAGCTGCTCCCAGCGGGCAGCTGTCAGGGGTGTGTGGCTGGCTGGCATGTGGCTTGTCCACAGGGAAGGGCGAGGTGGCCCACAGGCGGGGAGGGCAACGTCAGGTTCCTTCCTGGGCCACTGCAGCCTCTGGCTGGGGCAAGACCCCCGGTCGCTGCTCCCAAGCCGGGCCAGCGGGAGGCGATGGCTCCCTGGGTCTGCACAAGGACCGTCCCTTGCGGGCTGGGCACCACCCGTGAGGACACCAGATGCAAGTCCCTGCCCAGGAGGCTTGGCCACGCCCAGAGTGTCTCTCATCTGACCAGCAGCGGGTTCAGGCTCAGCCTCGGAGTCCGAGTCATCGTAAGCTACCAGGGAAGCCATGGGAGACACTGCTTCTTGCTGTCCTTCGAGGCCGAACAACCTAAGTCCAAACAAAGTCAAGAGTCAGAAAATGTGTACGGAAGAAAACTTATGTAATTAGGAGGAACTGTGGCACCATGGCACCTAGGAAATGCAAGAATTCCAAGCCCGTAAGAACAGGCACAAAGAATAAAGGCTTTTCTGTCCACCGGGACTCATTAGTTAGATGTCACTGTAAAAACAAAGGCTGGGGAGACCGGGGATAAACCCACCAAACACAAGCAAGACCTACACAAAGAAAACTAAACTTGGAGGGAGGACGTAAAAGCAGCCCTAGAGAGACAATGCGTGGATAGAAAGACACGGGATTTGGAAGGGGCCTCTGGAAGGGTTGGGTGGACAGGGTGTGCCACAGGTTAAACACGATCTGTCCCCAACAACCCACTGCCAGACTCTGTCCTGTACAGACGCCAGCGTACAATGCTGGGTGTGCACATGTATGAGACCAATGCACCACAGGTCTCAGCCCTGCTCGCAGGCAGTAAGTGAGGAGAGGAGACGCCTGTCCAGCAGCCTGACAGCAGGGGATCTAGAGACGCTGGGATTGGCCCAGGACCCGTGGCGGGGGGGGCACCCCGCCCCTTGCACCCCATCCCAGTCCGCTTCCTCTTCGCCTGAATGTTCTTCCCCAGGTACCCCACCTTCACATTAGCCACCTGGAAGGACAGATCCAGGGAGCCAGGTGGGGGGCCTGAGGCGTCTGCCCCCAGAGTGCCCTGCAGGGATCCTGGAGGGTCATCCGAACCCGCTCATCTCATACCACACACACACATTTACACAGCAGTGAGTTTCCTCTTTAAAAAATTCTTTCGGAAATTCTGAACCATCATGCACAATACACTGTTAACAACTGGTTCCCGGGAAGAAGTGCTGTGGTGCAGGGCCCAATGTTGTGATTTTGCGCCATTCGCAGGACAAGCCAGGGGCACCGGGGACGCTCAGGACACCCCGGACAGCAGTGGGGTACATGGGACAGCACAGAAAGCGCCCCACTTTTAAAAAACCCCTGCACCCACCTTAATCAACTGGACAGAGCTCTCACTCCCCACGTGGGCAGGTCAGCATCAAATCACTTTCTCCAAGGTCTCGGGCAAGTCATTCCTCGCCTGTCACCCACATTCTACCCCACAGTGGGCTCTGTGTCCCCGGAATCAACTACCCTTCCTCCAGATGGCACCTCTGCCACACAGAGAGGACCTTACTCAGCCAATGTCTATAGTCAGGCCCTTCCAATGATGCCACCACCCCTCACAAACCAGAGTCTAAATCAAGTTCTTCAAATCAGTCAGCTCATCTCATATGGAGCTAATATAACACCAAGGATGAATCATAAAGCAATGAAATAGTGCACTTCCAAAAATTAGGTATTTCTGCTCTCTAAATACTAAGTCTAAGCTGGGTGCAGTGGCTCATGCCTGTAATCCCAGTACTTTGGGAGGCAGAGGCAAGAGGATTGCTTGAGTTCAGGAGTTTGAGACCAGCCTGGGCAATATAGCAACACCTTGTCTCTACAAAAAAAAATTCGGCCAGGTTCGGTGGTTCAGCCTATAATCCCAGCGCTTTGGGAGGCCGAGGTGAGTGGATTGCCTGAGCCCGTGGCTTCAAGACCCGCCTGGACAACTTGGTGAGACCTCATCTCTACAGTAAATAAAAAAATCAGCCGGGCGTGGTAGCGCATGCCTGTAGTTCCAGCTACTTGGAACGCTGAGACGGAAGGATCGCCGGAGTCCAGCAGGTCAAGGATGCAGTGGCTGGGAGCGGCCACTGCACTCCAGTCTAGGTGACAAAGTGACACTCCAACTCCAAAAAAAAAAATTCAAATTCAAAGAATTAGACATGGTAGCACATACCTGTAGTCCCAGCTACATGAGAGGCTGAGGAGGGAGGATCACCTGGAGGTTGAGGCTGCAGTGAGCCATGATCATGCCACTACACTCTAGCCTGGGTGACACCGTGAGATTCCCAACTCAAAAATTAAAATAAAATAAATACTAAGCCTGGAGTTGAGGGCACTCTCCACTCCTGTGCCCAGGTACCACCCACCACAACAGCCCACTTCTTCCTGTCCCAGGAAACTCACTAGATCCCCAGATTCCCACCACCCAGGTGCCCGTGCCCAGCCACTAGGGTGGATTCCCACCCACCCAGTCATGCACGGCAGTCGGCTCACAGGACAGACCTACGGCCAGAACTAAAGATGAGGCCGAGCGTTGTGTGGCCCGTTGGTCCTACTCCTCAACAAGGCAAGGTGGCAAGGACCGAACAAACATGAGAGCGCGGACAGCGGGGCTTCTGATACACCCTGCTTCGCGTCCATTTCTTTCTTCACTCACTCAACAAGCATTGACAGGGCATCGGCTACTCACCAAGCCCCAGCCTGGGCACTAGGAACACCACAGCAAGCAAAGCTACGAACGATGACCCACGCTCACATGCCAGTGGGGACAGGCACCATCATCACGTGACAGAGAGGACATCTGGTGGCAAGAAGCCCTAAGAAGAAAAGGCAAACAGGTGAGTGGGTGAGCCTGGGGCCTCAGAGGGAAGGCGAAACCTGGGTCATGGTCTGGAAATGGTGGGAGAAGAGGCAGATAGAGGTGCTGAAGACTGAAGCTACAGAAACAGTTACACGGGGTGAGAGAAGCATCCAGGATGATTCCAGGAAACAGACGAAACTGGAGAAGGCTGGGAGTCCATGGAGCGGCATAACTTTAAGAAGTGTCTGCTGCCTCCTCTGTTCCTAAGGCGAAAAGGGAAAAAAAAAAAAGGTTTTTTTGGCACAGCTCGGTGGCACAGCTCGGTGGCTCACAGCTCGGTGGCTCCGAGCACTCTGGGAGGCCAAATAGGAGGATAGCTTGAGGCCAGGAGTTCAAGTCCCTTGTCTCCATTTTTTAAAAGAATTTTTTTCATGGGAAGAAGGGAGTGGTTAAGAGTTAGAGAACCAGCCAGATGGAAGACAAGACAAGGGCCCTGGCGAAAGAGGCTGAGGAAGGGGCGAGTGGCACTGACAGTCACCACTACCGTGTCAGCTCCACGAGGACAGGACGTTGTGTGTTTTGCCACAGTTCGATCCCCGCCGTCTAGAGATACTCGGGGAATGTAAACTGGGCCGGGAGCGCGGGGGAAGTAAAAGAAACGGGATAGTCTCATTCATCAGACATTTCCTGGTACCTTCTCTGGATCAAGCCCTCGGGTGTGGGAGATTAAACATCCAACACGGATCCCGCCCCGGAGGCCACAGACCAACGAAGGCAACACACAAGATACATGCAGAGGTGGGTTTTGAAAGGATGACTGCGAGGAGCCGAGCTGTCAACAGTAAGAGGCGAGAGCAGTCCAAAGCACCGCGCTTTCTGAAGGAACGGGAAACGAAAGGCAGGCGAGCAGCGGCGAAGACCCGCACTAAGAGGCACGGAGCTCCCGGGGCGCTGCCCAGTCCCGGCCCTCTCCCGCCCGGGGCCCGCCGCTCACCGCACGCACCGGAAGCGCTCCGTTCTCACGGAG